TACAATCAGAAGTTGCAGCAGCTTCTACCCATTTAGTAAAATATTTAGTAGCAACTATATTATATCTGTTTTCTTTGGTGATTCGAAGAAGAGGTCCTACATAATCTATTCCAATATGATCAAAGGGTTGTTTGATAAGTATTGGGTGTAAGGGTTCCATTTATTTAGGTCTCCCTTATCATTGGTAAATATCACACGTTTTTATTCAATTATCAATTACTTGATACATATTTGGCTAGTAATACTTAGAGGCTATTTTATTATAAGTTATATTGCAGCCTAAATGTCCTTCTAGAGATTCATTATGTATATTATAGATCAAGATTTTAACTTCAGTAGTTTTAATAACTAATAGGGGTTATGAGGGTTGTTTTTAATTCCTACGATAGAGTTGTTGATTTTTAATAAAATATCTGGAAGATTGTTTCAAATTCAAGTTGTTGTGTGAGGGTAGTATTTGGTGGGTAAGTTAAAATATTGAGGAAATTATAAAATTGGTTGTAGGTTTTTAAATTCATTTTGGTTGTTAGAGCTATCAGTCACACTGCTAACACTTAAGCTTTCACTCTTTTATGTAGTTATTTTTTGAGTTGTAATTTAAATGGTAAGAGAAAGGAGTCAAGATAAAGCATCTGCATTTGAATGTATTTTTCCTTTTCTGTATCTAATTTTATAGGGAAACTCTATGATTCTATTGATCTATTTCATAAATTTTCTAGGTGAATCTGGTTTATTAAATAATTATTATAACGCTGCGTAGTTAGTTACTAACTTAAATGGTTAATAAAGTAAATATGATCTAAAATATTTCATTCTTCAAATGGCAGCGAAACATTCTAATTCAGTAAATGCATAATTTCACTCAATATTATTTAGACTTTAGCTAATGTATGCAATAATACGTTCTCTATTTTAGTTATCTAGTTACGTTAGTACTACTTCAAGTCTTACATAAGATCTATCAGTAAATAATAAAAATTTTTGTTTGAAGTCTGGATATATTAAGATTGATGTTGAAATCAAACAATTTTTTAAATGTTCAAATGCTTCTTGCTAAGATGAAATCCACTCAAAAAGGGTTTCTTTCTACAATAGTAAATGTAAAGAAGCAGCTTTAATAGAAAATTCTTGGATAAATTTTTAATAGTAAGAGGCTAATCCAAGAAATCCTTTAAGTTCCATAATATTTTTAGAAATTGGAAAGTTTTTAATCTTATCAATTTTTGGTAGACCTAGCAAAATTCCTTGTTCGCTAATAATATATTTCAGAAACACAAATTCTAATTTGCAAAACTCACATTTATCCTTATCAAGTTTTAATCCTGTCTTCTTTAGTTTTTCAAAAATGTGTTCTAAATGTCATATGTGTTCCTCAAAAGTAGAAAAAAATATAATGATGTCATCAAAATAAACTACTATGAACTGCCTAATTTCTTTCTTAAAAACTTTGTTCATTAACCGCTGAAAAGTGGCAGGTGCATTTGTTAATCCAAATGGCATAACCTTGAATTTGTATAACCCTTGACTTCAGTTCAGTTCAGATTTTTTTCAGATTATAAATCTAATCTAAACTGAAAAAAATCTGAACTGAACCAAAAATTTCAGATTAATTCGAAATTTTGGATCATTTAGAACGATTAAATTATTATTCGATTAGAATGATGAAATTATTGTTTTAAATGAATGATAAAAGAATTGTTTGATTAGAACGATCAAATTATCATTCTAAACGAATAATAAGAAAATCATTTGATTGGAATGATAAAATTATCATTTCAAACGAACGATAAAAGAATCATTTGATTGAAATGATCAAATTATCATTCCAAATGAATGATAAGAAAATCATTTGATTAGAATGATGAAATTATCATTCATTTAGCTTGGTCTTCTACTTCTATCACTACTTGCCAGTATTTACTAACCAAGTCTAAAGTAAAGAAATACTTAAAGCGCCTAAACATATCTAATAGTTCGTCAATTTGTGACAGCAGATATCCATTTCTCCTGGTGACATTGTTCAATTTTTAAAAATCAACACAAAAACGTAGACTTCTATTTTTCTTTCGTACTAGAATAACAGGTAAAACCTAAGGACTTTCAGATGGTTAGACGAGATTATGTTTCAATATTCAATTTATTTCTTTCTTAATAAATTCTTATTCTAAAGGCGCAACTCGATAAGCTCGTTGTCATATTGGAAGAGGACTTTCTATGGAAATATGATGTCTCTCAATGGTGGTATGACCTAATTGTGATAAATCATTGGTAAATGCATTAGTATTGACTTGTAAGAACTGTTATAAGTCCTTTTGTTATTTTTAATCTAAATGGATATATGAATTGATCTTAGCTGGTTTTTCTTCAGGAATATTTTGTCATAACTGCTAATGTTCCCATTCCTTTTGGCATAAGGAGCATGTATCTTCAGCCTGGTCAAGTGGTTTATGGCACTAACATCTATTTTCAAGGCCTTGCCAATGGTACTTCTATTTTGAACATTCAGACGATTGACATTTGAATTCTTGGTTAAGATTCTCAAAATATTGTGGTGAATATGTTTGTTTTTAAACTATCACTTGTTTAAAATCACTCTTAACTAAGATGGATTCTTCTTTACTATCTCCTAATATCATATAATGTTATTGCATAGTCAAACTTTCATTTTCATATTCATTATTCATTGAATTTGTAAAAATTGGTGTAGATTGTTGAAACTTATCAAATTGAGATTTTTCCCAATAAGTTATAGGAATCTGATATTCTTTTTAGTTTCATTGAAAAATAAATTTCTGATAGTTCTAATAAAGTCATCTACGACATTTTGTTAACCAATCATTTTCAGCTATAATATAATAATTATTAGACTTAGTTATATAGGTATCAATGGGAATTTCTACATCACTAATTTGGATTAGAACATTAGTGATTTTTCCCAATGGTTGTGAGTATCCTCCTTGTATATTAATCATAGTAATCATTAATGGGCCTTCAATTTTTTTATTTAATTGTTATAAGAAACTTCTTTACATAACACTTCCAATAGATTCAGAATCTAAAATCAAATAAATAAGTTTGCCATCTATGAATGCATAACAGTAAACAGTCTCTACAGCTTTAAGTATATCAATTTCATTTGAGAAATTTAAATAATGACTGGTATTCTTACCCTCTAAAGGTATCCTTAATAGTTTAAAGACTGATTTAATAGATTAGAAGGGTTACTAGTAGTTGTAAAGGTATTAGTAAAAGGAAATGTTATAGAAGGTTGTGAAGAAAGAGGTGGTAGAAACAGATTTGGAATATTGTATATAAAACTTTCTTATGATAAGACAGCTCGTTGACTTGTTTGATCAGATTGTGTTAGCTATTATGGAAATTTAGTACCAGTTTGGTCAGATATAAGTTTCCCTAATGTCCAAGCTGGTGGCAATGTGAACAGGATCCTGTGGGTATGACGTTATAATTTTTAGCTATGTGTCCCCTTCATTTATAAGTAAAATATCTATTTTTATTCTGGTATGTAGTATTCTTATTCTATTAGAAGTTATTTTGATTGCTATCTTGATTATTTCATGTTATACAATTTTTGGCAATATGTTTAGGCTAATTGCAATTGTAGTATACTTGATTACTATTGTTAGTACTATTTTTTTAATTGTTATTATTATATACTGGATGGCTATTATTATCAGTACGTGATTTGGTAGTAGTAATAGATAATAGTTATTTAATTTCCTTCATCAATTTTTCATTACTTTCCTTAATTAATTACTGCATATTGGGAGTCTTTTCTTATTCTATTTCTTCATTATATTGATTTAAATAGGTTTTACTGAGAGAATATCCTGAAAGAACGCTATCTTTAGAGAGAACAGCTTCAACAGCTTGAGCTTGATCAATTGCTTCTTCTAGATTATGAGGTGTAGCAGCAGCTACTGTGGTCAGAAACTCAGATGAAGTCTTTGTAATAATTGTTCGATTTTCTCGTCTTCTGATGTATTATAATCAGGGTCAAGTTTGAGGTATAATAATTTAATATTAGCAGCATAATTCTTGACAGATTATTCAAGGCGTTAGTTGCATTGCCTAAGTGCAGAATACCATTGTATTCTTCTATGTATTATGCAGTAATGCTTCAAGAAGTAATAAACGAAGGATCAGTGTTTATGTTGTCAATCACAAGAGTTATCCTAATATTGCAAATCTTTTTATTCTTAGTTTTATTATACTAAGTAAGAGCTGATCTTTTTAGAAAAGAAGGAACTAATGTAAGACGTCGCTTATCAGAAATTCTATTTGCATTTCCAGTATAGTTATATCTTTCCAACCATTCTCTAGAGTCTTGATCTCTACCCTTAAATGTTGGTAAGTCCACAAACTTAGCTTCTTGCGATCCACCAAATCTAATAGTTTTGAAGAAAGTTTGAAGATCTTTCATCATTTGGAAGAAGTTTCTTTCGTCATTGTCTTTAGTATTATTAGTATTGAAAGGATCTTTGTTGTTACCCTCTGATTCACTATCTTCAGAATTAGAACTAGAGGAAAGTAAAGAGCTATCATAATAGGAAGGAGAGTGACGGCTCTTCCATTTATTAATTTCTTTTCCTTTAGGCCTTTTACTTTATTTCTGTAAGTAACCAGTTTTATATTTGAAAGAATGGAAGGAGTCAGTATCCTTTTGGTCTGAAGTTGCTTCTTTTTCATCAGAAGATTTTGCAGTTTAGGTGGTTTTCTTGTTCCTTCATAAGAGCTAAAAGATGATTCATTGAAACCTAAAGTCTATTTTCCAGTATCTCTTCCACTAGGGATGGTATTAGCGATTATAGTTTCATCAGGTAGGTAGTTTCCTTGAAAAGAGGAGAGATTTTCTTCTGCTAATTTAGAAATATCACTACTTTTGAGGGTGGTTGTTTTAGCAGAGAGTCTAGTCATTCTGGAAGGAGAAGAGTTTCGACTTGGATTTACAAGTGATATATTGAAGTAGGTAAGTTAATCACCTTGAAATTTCTTTTGGAAGGAATCAGTTTCAGTTTGAGCTCTAATATAATAGGTAACAGCTCGCTCAAAAGTTGATATGGGTACATTTTTATATCTAAGGGTATTGAGAGTCTGTCTATAGTATACTTCTTGTATACTGGTAGTGTCTACAAAAACTGCAAGTTAAAAGGCTTCTAAACTTTTACTGATATATAATGATGCTTCTAAGACCTTCTGTGTCCACTTAAAAAAATGAAGAAAAGGTTGTGGAATTTCTTTAGGAAGTGGATTACAAGTGATACAGAATGAGTCATCTGTCAAGAAAAATTTGCTAGTTGATTCTCTAAGGTTATGTCCTTGTCTATTGTGTATAATGAAATAGTTTCTTTGATATTTTATCAATTCTCTAAAGTTATTCATAAGGTGTTTCTTATAGTATTATGCAAACAGGAAAAGAGGGTCCTATTATTGTCACCAAATGTTAACATACAATCCTTACAAATTACGATAGTTAGACAAGATGTTCAGTGGTGATTCTTTTAAGTTTATGTAGTGTCTTAATCTTAGTTTAATTTAAGTTTATAATTTACACAGCAGTGAACTTCCAACAAGACTAAAAGTAAAGTAGCTCAATTGATTCAGAGATGTAATAATATGTTTATTGACGATAAATAATAGAAATAAGAAATAAGAAGATAATAATATATGAAATAAGAAAATAAGAAAGAATAAGAGAAATTAAAAGAGTTAAAATACGAAGTGAAATATTAGGCCAGACGCCTCTACAAAAACTACTAGATGTGTATCTAAAAGTAAAACTAAAGGAAAAAATAAAAGTGAATTAAAAGCAAACTTAAGTTTTCATGATTCTATCATTCTCTATTTATATTAAATTAATATATAGACAAATATAACAAATAAATCAAATATATCTAATATGTCCAATATGTCAAAGATATTAATTATATCAAATATATCAAATATATCCAATATGTCTAATATGTCTAATATTTAGATCTGTAACCTATTGTGTCATGTTTATTAATCCAATTCTATTACATTACATTATAATCACATATTAAATTCTTCTATTTTAACTTGCATTGACAAGTTGAATATATCATATTGTAACTTTAATTTATACATCAAGCTACATTTCTTCAGAACTCTATTTTATTTTCTCTATATTTAATATACAGTAGCAGTCATAAGTATCCAACCGCCCAAGATCGTCTAAAATTATTATATAACTACCCTTAAATTTTCCAGAAATATAATATCACAATACATGATCACCTGTAAATTTATAAGTGTCAATAATACAAAAAAAAACAATTTAGATGATCATCAAACTTTCACTTGAAAAATGGAACTTTCTTTAGAGAAACGATATAAAATTGTCTTTTTACGTGAACACCCAGCTGGTCCAAAGTTTAGTTTTGGATT